TAAACCAAATGGCATAACATTCCATTCATATTGACCAAAAGGAACATTAAAAGCAGTCTTATATCGATCCTTTTCATCAATTTGAATTTGCCAATATCCTGATTTTAAATCAAATTTTGAAAATATGATTGCAGTATTTAATCTATCTATTAAATCTTTTTTATTTGGAATTGGATACCTAATCCACTTTAAAACTTTATTTAAAGGCTTATAATTTATTACTAGTCTAGGAATTCCTCTTTCTTGTTCTGAATGTTTATTAACATAAAAAGCAGTGCAAGACCAAGCTGATTTAGAAGGTCTAATTAAATTTTTGCTTAGTAAAGAAGATATTTCTTTTTTACAAAGGTCCAAATAGTCGTGATTCATTTGACAAGGACGAGCCTTGGTTGGAATATTTCTTTCATCAAAATTGTCTTCATATGGAAGAGGAATTATATGTTTCTTTCTTTCCCAAAAGGCATTAGGATGATCGGAACATATTTTAAGATAAATTTATTTCTTAAATTATTAATTTTTTCTTGTAATTTTGGATTTTGTAATTTTTCATCTATGTTTATTATTAAAATTTCTTCTTTTAAAAAGTTTATTTGTTTCGTTTTCAAATCTATAAGATCTATCCAACGAGTAAAAGGCTTTGTAATAAATTCAAAAAATACTTCATAATTTTGAAAATTGCCTAGGATTCCCTTTTCATTAACTCCAAACGGCAATATTTTTTGTAAAAATGGAGTGCCTAAAATGATTTCATTGTGGGACATATTCTTAATTATTGTAAAGTTTAGTGGAATACAAACTTTATTATTACAAATCTTTGCATTAGACAATTTATAACTGATATCCAATTTTTCTCCACTGACTGTGCGAATCACATGGGTGGATTTTTCAAAATATTTGACAGGAATTAAGCCTTCATGTATACAGTTTATATCTGCCCCGCTGTCAACAAGAGCAATAAATTCTTTTCGATAATATTCTCCAATTATTAATTTTATTTTGACATACCATTTTTGGGATGTAACTAATTCCATAGCACTTAAGAATTCATTCGACTCATTATTTGAAGTTGATGTTTTATTATTATGGGATTCTTTTTCAAGAGTAATGACTCTATTTTCTAACTTATTATGATTGTTTTTTAGAAAAATAATTTCATTTTTTAAATTATTGATTTCTTGTGTGTAATCCATGATGGTAGTATTTAATGAAATATTATTTTTCATTTTTAATCTTTGATCTATCTCTTTCATAGAATAAATTGGTTCATTAACCTGAGTATTTCTTTGATTATTTATTATTTGATCAATGATTTGTGATCTTAATTCGGAATCATCTATATTTTTTAAAATAGATAAAATATCTTTATCTAAAACGTTTATTTGTAAATTATCCTGAAATTGTGATTGAATATTATATATTTCATCATCACATGAGCAATTATTTTTATCTATACAAAAGCAATTATTTTCTTCTTCTTCATTAGAACTACTTGATGTATAAATTTCTTCGTCAGATTTATATTATTTATTTCATCATCAGATGAGGATTCTTCCGAGTTATTTAAAAGAATTTCTTTTAATTTCTCTTTCATATTATCATCTAGATTTAAGTTATTAATCTTTTTCTTTATTTTACATTTATTGGCAAAATGACCAATTCGACCACATTTATAACAAGTTGGTGGATTATCTTTCTTCTTTTTATTATGTTTTTCTTTTCTAAAAGACTTTCTTTTAGATCTATATTGTTTTTGGTTTTCACTATATTTTTTAAATTTTTAGGGATATATTCCCTTTTTGATCTCTTTTTATTTTTTAAAGTATCAATACCAAATTGTTCACAAAAATGGCCTAATTGTTGTCTCTCAGTGAGGCGTTGTTTTTTTATCTGTTGATTCAATTTTATTTCATTACACAAGGCTAGACCTTCTTGTGTACATATTCCGATAAGTTTTCCATATGAATAATTTTCATAAGGAATTTGAGGATGATTTCCCTGTAGTTGTTTCCTAACCCTTTCAGCAAAAAGGTTTGGAAGACTATCAATAAATTTTTGTTTCCAATAACTAGAATTACAATCATCTAATTCTAATACTCTGCTCATAAAAGTATATTTATACCATCTAAATGAAGTTAAGGTTTTACATTTCATACCATTTAGTAAAGTTCTAGTATTACCAGAATTATTTGACCATTTACCCGAAAAATGTTCAATTATACTTAAAAGGAGTGTATAAACTACATCTTGAACTATTGTTTGTGCAGAAGTTGAAGTGCCATCTTCATTTTTAATTTGATTAGTAACTATTTTGGTAGCATTATAAATTTGAATCTTATCTGATTCGTGTAAATAATTATCCCACCAGCCTTTTAATTGGCCAGTAAAACCTGCTATTATCATTTGAGCAACTGTTAAATCAGTATTTCCTAATTGTTTTGCACTAGTAGCATATAAAGTCATTCTTTGAGTTAACAAATATATTTGTCTCTCTGTAAAACCATCTAAATTCCATTCATAGACGTTCTTACCATTGTAACTGTTATCTTGAATAAACTCTTGTTCTTCAAATAAAACATCTTGAGGAGTAGGTCTATTATAATAATATTTAGATTGGACGGGTTTCTAGCAAATTTACCATCATAACTTTCATATTTTATTTTATTAATTCGTTTATCTTGTTCGGATTCAGACCCGGAATTATAATCTGATTTAATAATTCTTTTGGAGGAAAAATGATATCATGCTATATTTTAAGGATAATGATGATCCATGGAATTATAATCTGATTCTTTAATTCTGTTTAAAGTATTTACACTTAAATTTTCAGGTTTTTTTAATTTTTCTAAAATTTGATCTAGTTTTGTTTCATTTTTAAATTTAAAATCTTTTATTTCCGGAGGAGGTTGGAAAGTTGCTATTATTTTTTCTTTATTCGGCTTTGTTTTCTCCATTTGAGATTGTTCGATAATTTTATATATGCTTTCTACCTTTTCTTCTATAGAAAGAATTTTTTCTCCAAGAATTATAGAATATAAATTTGTAAAATTATTTTGTTGTATTAATTGGTTAATATGTTCTACGGTTACCTGTAAAGTATTACTTTCAACTAATTTTTTATAAGCCGAGAACTTTAAACTTATATTTTCCCTGGAAATTTGAAAACTTTGTTGTGGTGGAAAAATCGATTTTTGTATATTTCCATTTGTAAGAGTATATTCTCTTTCTATCATGTTTAAATAATTAATTATATACTTATGAAAAAACCATGGAACAAAATATATAATTTTGTTAATTTTTGATAAATAAGAATAAAACTCATCTTGTATAATTGTTAATTCTTCTTTTGAAAATTCTTGGAATAACCAAGTTTTAAAAGGCTTCCATTTTTCTGTATTAAATTCATTATAAATTATTGATCTTGCCGGTGATCCCGGACTAAAATTTATTATTTCTTCTCTATCCATTAAATTGGAAAATTCATTTCTGAGGCAGTAGGATCCTCTTCATAGACACCTTGGACTATATTTTCTTTTATATTTAATTGATTTATTTTCTTGTCTAATTGAGACGTAGAACATCGGGAAGGAGTTTCTACCTTATATTCTAAAGGTGATATATGAGAATATAGTGATCTAGTTGATCTACATCTTCTTAATAGAGGTATTTCTCCATCATCATTATCGAATTCTATTTGAATTCTTCCTTCCGATGTTTGTATAATTTCTGTAATCTTATTATTTATTTTTGGTTGAGGAGGAACCGCTCCCTCCAAGACCCAATTTTTTGGAAAATCTATTTCATCCCACTTAATAGCTTTTCTAGTGGTTATTTTAGACATATCAAAATTACTTTCTATTAAAATAGTTTCATTATTAGGTTTGTTAGTTTTTTTACACCTAGGGTTCATTGTTTTTAAAGGCCTGTAGTATATTCTATAGCATATACATATTAATTCAGATCCTGGCATATAATTGTATCCATTTGTTTTAACATTTAAAGTTAAAGCATCTAATATATTAACATCAGATAATGATAACTGTAAATTAGGATAAACATTAAAATATACTGGACCATTGGTCAGACTGGACTGTATTATTCCCATTAAAGATTGTTTCCAATTCATATTACGACCATCACGTAATACAGCTAAAAAACTTTCTGGTAAACCTTGTAAAGTTAAAGGTTTAAAAGCAATTTGCACTAATCCTATATGAAGATAATTATGAGTATATTGATATCTATGAATATCTTCATATGTTAATAATTTTACAACCATATCATCTTGATTCATTGTTAAATTTTCTTCAGTTGTTTTAACTGATTGTATAAAACCTAATTCTTCAAAAGTACCTAGCTCATATAAAGCTTTTGGTTGTATTCTAGGAATTGTCCATTTGTTTAACAAATCTAATTGTTTTGGTATTTCATATTCTTCATTTATTTGATTTTTAACATTATTTCTATTATTCCTTTTGAACATGTGAAAATTCATTTGGAAAATAAGTGTTAAATAATCCTACGACTGTATTTTGGCATAACTATATGGTACCCCTGGGCCTTCTCTGTGCCTTATGGTATCAGAGCCAAAACACCTCACCAAGAGAAACAAACGAACAAAGAAACAAGATGCCAGATTTTTGGTTTTTTGCATACCTATTTATCAAAAAAGCAAGATGTCATGATGGCTAATTCGGTTTTTTTGCATACCTGTAGCTTCCTTATAAATCCAACTTCTCTTCAATATTGTTTGGTTGAGTATGCATGAGAATTAGAGAGCGGGGATTGAAAATCTTCCAGAAGTAGTTAAAAATTGTTAGATTATTACTCTCCACGGTCTACAAATTAAAACATATGCACCAAATAATAAATAAATAAATGGATTTCAATCTATGGTTGGAATGTATAGCTACCTTATGGATGCTTTTCTCCCTATCTATTGGGCTCTGACACGTGGGCTTGAGAGAGTTGATTACTTGTTTTCTGTTCAACTTTTCAGCATATCATACACCACTCACAATGCTACAAATCTGTACTCAAACAAAATTACATTTGAATTTACAATTTTTTTAATTAATCCCATACAAAAAGAAGTTGATTTTCCATTCAAGAAATTGATTTATCCACAGTAGAAATCAATTTCTTAAGCGGAAGAATCATGGTCTCTCATAAATTATAAAAACAGACCGTCATTGGTAAATACATCGGTTTAGCATTTGTGCCAGCTTGGATTGCTGGAAGGTGTGGAAACTGAAGATTAATGTCGTATTTCATCAGAAAATACTCAACAATAGATATTGTGGCTCCGGTGTCGTGAACAATAAATCTAACAAGATTTAACAAAAAAAAAGTTAAAAAACACAAACACTTTAAGAAAATGTTTATTTGAACTGAAGCTTATGTGAGTTGTTTAGTTGGTTGAAGTGTTAACGAATGAACCTTGTAATGTCTCATGTAATCATGTCTCCTAACTTCCACTCTTACACCTCTCAGTGCTCTCTTTACCTGAAAGGGAAATAATAAATTATCATTAAAAAAACAACTTTTTAAGATTGATAAAATGGTAAAAAAAAAAACCTTTCCTAATTCCTACCTTGATACGATCTTGGTCCGATAGTGGTCTCGATATCTCCTTATGTAGAAATTCACCAACAAACTTAGTAACTAACGTAGGTTCATAAAAAGCACAAGTTGACATATCTTTAAGATTTATATTAGAGTATAATGGTTGATGATGAAAATATATACAAATATACAATCAAAATATATAGAAATACAAATACATACCAAGGTTAAGTGACAAAGCCCATTTGAGTTGGTCTTAGAGTTTGATAAAACCCTTTACAAAACTCAACATCATCACCAAGAACACCTGTCCCAAATTCAGGACTAAACAATGATCTACCAAGTGTTTTCCTCATACAAACAATTCATGTAAAAATAGTTAGAATCCTATTGAGAGCTTGATGAGAAAAGATATATTATGACACTTAATTGATACCCTTGTAAACAATCCCTTAGAAAAACATCAAGAGCTTGGATAGTTTCATGGGGATTATCATGGTGTCCACCATTTAAGAACTGTTTCAGATGGTTCATATCCTTTCCACCTGTAAATTTGATGTTGATTTTGAATTCCTTTTCCCACCTACAATATATGTATATAAAACAAGTTACAATTTGAAAGGAAGTATTTAAAAAACCTGATATTGAAAAGTAAGTAATACTTATACCCATTTTGTTGGGTGAGTTTAACAGAAAATTCTTGGGATTCAAATGGTAATGGCCCTGCTGAAAACACGGTTTTGTTTCCATCATAAGCTAACAACATGTGTCCGAGGTGTGATGCTCCATATGAACTCCTAACAAGTTTCAAGATGTCTCTACTTTTCCTCTTTGAGATTACTTATGGATTGATTGTTACCTACAACCAACATTGCAATCATATAGAATACAAATCCAGACATGAATACATATAAATAGTTCTTTGCAAATGCTTATCAATATACCTATCTCCATAAAAACTAATGACGTGTGGATATAGTAAAAAACATATACCATATACCATATATGTGATGAGAAGTAATATGAAAGTAATCTGTAGAGAAAGATCATACGTACATCATACTGGTGGGGACTTTTCACCGAGACCAACCTGGAAGTGATTCGCCCGAATAGCATACTTGTTCCCTATTGTTCCATATACGTTCATGGGCGGTGGCTTGATCATCCTAGACGATGAAGGCACCACTGATAGAGCATCTGACACTCGTTGATACAACATGTTGTTGGGTTTTGAGCATTCTAATACTCCTATGGTGTACATGCAACCCTAGATGCTTTGGATCTATGTTTTCTCTAATATACATGCAAACTTTGATTTTCCAAAGCATCATCCTACCTAGCATACAATGAAGTATCTTTACTACAAAATTCTAGTTAGATGACATACCTTTTGTTGTAGCTTGCTATCCTTGATGTATTTGGACTTTAAGAACTTAGCACCAATAGTGTAAATGCCTCAAATGGAATCACAAAACACCTAGGACAAAGGATAACTTGAGAGAGAATGGCTTGCTCTAGAAATCGGCTCTATGACTCTTCCAAAGATCACTAGTGTCCATTTCACCAACCAAGGGGCTTCTTATATAGTGTGGCACAACTAGGGTTACACCATGCAAAACCAAATGTGCATGACTTTCCACATTCCTTAGGCTCCCTGGGTTTTAACCTCCATGGAGTATCCATGGGCCACCACATGGGTTTAGCCCAACATAAAGAACTATGGATCATAAGCCCACTTTATAAGAATGAATGATTTACACAATCAATCCCCATATATTTAATTAGTCTCTTTTGATCACTAAATTAATTCCAAATTAAATCTTGATCAATACTAATCAAATAATATGATTTCATATTAATATATTAGAACTTATAATATATTAATAAATCATAAATAACCTCTTCTCAAAAGTTCATCCTATCAAATTGCCCTGGTGATATGCAACCCAAATGGACCATGCTACTCTCGGGTCAAGTACATACAAATTATAGTTATGGAATTAGACACTAATCAAACACTCTCCCACTTGGATAAGTCTAATAACTATTATTGCAAGTACGAATCCACAACCCGACTAGCAATCGTAGCTCTTAAAAGCCGCTGTCGAACTCTGATCTAGTCAATGACGCGTCCATTAGATAAGGGATCATATATTCCTCCATTCTATTAGATATCATATGAACTGAGACATCGATTATGATCATTCTTTCTGTCCATCTGTTGTTTCCCGATTTCTGATTTATGACGACCGACTAATTGAACAAATCAAATCAGTCCAGGCTCGGCCGAGCGCTTAGGGTTGTCATCACTAAATCATCGAGGGGCCCACAAATATCGCTTTTATCCCTCCAAGGGTAAAAGGAATGGATAAAATTCGACTCAAATGCTTGCTTGTACTTACTCATCAAATCACACACAACGATATGTTTTATAACACCAAGTTACTGGTGTGTTTACATATGTCAATGTGCAACTGACTTGCAAATTACAACTCACATGTTTTGGTTTCAAGAATATAAGATATTATCGTCTCATGATCACTCGTGATAAAATCCATGAAGTGATACAAATGAGTGTGGGTTGAATCCAATACTCGAATCCTATACCAGGAGTAGTCATGAACATTGAAGCGATGTCTAAAACACTTAGAAAAACTACAGACCCATTCACGACAGTCTTGCCTCAATACTTACTTCCAAAGTATGATCGACTGTGGATGGTTTCAATAACCTAGTTATTCGGGAAGTCAAAAAATGCAAAGTGAAACATAATAATAATACTAATCCTATATGGCCCAACATTTTTTTAGTCATATTGATTACTCATTATTCATTGTATAATGTTTCAAATAATCAACTTAACATTTGAATTAAAACAATAGCTATGCCATGCTCCAAGCATGCTCACTATTTTCGTCTAAACAATAGTTATGCCATGCTCCAAGCATGCACACTATGCTTGTCTATGGTCCTTACTTTGTGAAATAGATCAATTGAACACATCTTCAATGAAACTCATTTCACAATTCCAAATCTTTATCACCAGTGTAAGAATTCCAAATTCTTGTCACTGCTAGAATGTGTTAGACTCTAAACTATCATGCAATGAATCCTTTGTAATGTCTAGGTACCAAAGTCACGGAGACTTGATCAAGGATATTACAAAGTATTCCTTTGGAGATTGTTACAAGACAATTCGATCGAAGCGAAGTGTCAAATCCAAAGTACATTCCTTTGAACATCCTTTTTGCATAAAAGTTTCTAACCACATATTCTTAGTATCCAAGACCCAATATGAAAACATTCCATATTTTCCATATGACAACTCATTATTAATAGAATACATTCTATATATTTATAATCATGTCGATATAGTCCATCCATTACTATACTTCCAACTGCCCTTAAGTGACCAATCCTCGGTGAACCTTAGATTGTCCTTTAACAGTTGTTTAACTACTTTAGTCATATCTGGTTATATCTCTTTTTTCCCTCTTAATGCCCTAGGCACTTGGAAAATATTTAGAACGGATGAATATTATAGCACATGTAATCGATCCTATACCTGAAGCATATAGGTCACGATTCATGATGTCTTACATAAAGACATGATACTTGATCAGCCTTTTGCTATAATATTTCTATTTCCCATGTTCTCATCATTCGAATTATGAAAAGGGATGTCGTAATCATAGTCGAATTTTCAGAACGCAATTAATACATCCATATATAGAATTTCCTTATGTTGAACCATTCCAACATAACATTCATATATATATATATATATATATATATATATATATATATATATATATATATATATATATATATATATATATTTGACTAAATCTGATTAAAATCTCAATCTATGCTTTTAGATTTGAAATGAAGTATGAATTCCTCTCCCTTAATTATAGCAAAACAACTTTTCAAACCCTACAACTTGCGAATTGAAACTTTTGTTTTCAATAATCAACATTGCTAACTTGCAACATTCATCATAATTGATTATGCTCCCACTAGCATAATAATCATTACTTTTAGTAGCATAACATTTATGCTCCCGCTAGCCATGACATGTACCTAGAAGTCAGCTGGACTTCTACAAATCAATACTTATTGACTTTCATCACCAAAGTTCAGATTTCTGATACGAGATGCTTTGATAAGACTTTATCTAGGCTTCTCAAACTCATATACCTTTCCTTAGATAGCTCACATGTATACACCCTACATAGTGCCAAACTCCATTTTCCAGCTCAACTTCAAACAACCATAACTTCTTCGTTACAACCCCGTTTTCGACGTTCTTTATATGCATGGAAAGGTACTGAAGAGCCCAAATCTATGAAGTTGCTTTTGGCTTATCACATACCGAACTAAAACCATAATCCATGCATAAATCTTGATATATAACTTTTCCCTATCTACCCTTTGGTTCCAGCACACAAATCAAGGGATTAGATTTCACCACCAACATTATCAAACTTCAATAAGGTCCAAATTTACTTTCTCAAAGCCCAAAGCCTTTTCATGATTGAATTTCAGTCCACAACCCCGACTTAAAAAATGATCCGAAACAGGGTGTGACAACTCTCCCCCACTTAAATTATATAGTGTGGCACAACTAGGGTTACACCATGCAAACCCAAATGTGCATGACTTTCCACATTCCTTAGGCTCCCTGGGTTTTAACCTCCATGGAGTATCCATGGGCCACCACATGGGTTTAGCCCAACATAAAGAACTATGGATCATAAGCCCACTTTATAAGAATGAATGATTTACACAATCAATCCCCATATATTTAATTAGTCTCTTTTGATCACTAAATTAATTCCAAATTAAATCTTGATCAATACTAATTAAATAATATGATTTCATATTAATATATTAGAACTTATAATATATTAATAAATCATAAATAACCTCTTCTTAAAAGTTCATCCTATCAAATTGCCCTGGTGATATGCAACCCAAATGGACCATGCTACTCTCGGGTCAAATACATACAAATTATAGTTATGGAATTAGACACTAATCAAACACTCTCCCACTTGGATAAGTCTAATAACTATTATTGCAAGTACGAATCCACAACCCGACTAGCAATCGTAGCTCTTAAAAGCCGCTGTCGAACTCTGATCTAGTCAATGACGCGTCCATTAGATAAGGGATCATATATTCCTCCATTCTACAAGATATCATATGAACTGAGACATGGATTATGATCATTCTTTTTGTCCATCTGTTGTTTCCCGATTTCTGATTTATGACGACCGACTAATTGAACAAATCAAATCAGTCCAGGCTCGACCGAGCGCTTAGGGTTGTCATCACTAAATCATCGAGGGGCCCACAGATATCGCTTTAATCCCTCCAAGGGTAAAAGGAATGGATAAACTTCGACTCAAATGCATGCTTGTACTTACTCATCAAATCACGCACAGCGATATGTTTTATAACACCAAGTTACCGGTGTGTTTACATATGTCAATGTTCAACTGACTTGCAAATTACAACTCACTTGTCTTGGTTTCAAGAATATAAGATATTATCGTCTCATGATCACTCGTGATAAAATCCATGAAGTGATACAAATGAGTGTGGGTTGAATCCAATACTCGAATCCTATACCAGGAGTACTCATGAACATTGCAGCTATGTCTAAAACACTTAGAAAAACTACAGACCCATTCACGACAGTCTTGCCTCAATACTTACTTCCAAAGTATGATCGACTGTGGATGGTTTCAATAACCTAGTTATTCGGGAAGTCAAAAAATGCAAAGTGAAACATAATAATAATACTAATCGTATATGGCCCAACATTTTTTTAGTCATATTGATTACTCATTATTCATTGTATAATGTTTCAAATAATCAACTTAACATTTGAATTAAAATAATAGCTATGCCATGCTCCAAGCATGCTCACTATTTTCGTCTAAACAATAGTTATGTCATGCTCCAAGCATGCACACTATGCTTGTCTATGGTCCTTACTTTGTGAAATAGATCAATTGAACACATCTTCAATGAAACTCATTTCACAATTCCAAATCTTTATCACCAGTGTAAGAATTCCAAATTCTTGTCACTGCTAGAATGTGTTAGACTCTAAACTATCATGCAATGAATCCTTTGTAATGTCTAGGTACCAAAGTCACGGAGACTTGATCAAGGATATTACAAAGTATTCCTTTGGAGATTGTTACA